ATCTACCTATTGAGTACCGCAAACACTGCAAAAACTAAAAAGACGTACCTAACAAAAGAAAGAGGTAGTTAACAAGGAGTATAAATACGAGCAACCAACAAAAATTATGCAGAACGAAAAATGACACTGAAGATGGCACAACGCCGAAACCGGTTTGTCTCCAAACCAAATTTGACAAGGGATGACGAAAATTCGTTACATAATACATAATATATAAATCCTCTTTTGGATAAAATCAAAGTTTTAAGACACTTCAATGCTGGAGATTTTTAAATTAGTCAAATTGAAATAATGCCCCCGGTTTTTTTGTCCCATGCGAATGCCTTAGTTTTTTGCAATTACCTTGCAACGAAAACTTGCCCAAAATCAAGTTTAGCACCAATCACACACTAGGGAGGCAAAAATATCACAGCTAAACGACCAAACACACAAACTTAATTTTGGCCTCTATATGTTATAGTGAACCAATTTCGATGATTTTCATAAATAGTTAAGGTAATACCGAAAAACTGTCACGTGCCAAATTTTAGTAGAATAACTTTAAAACTGAAGGAATTATTACCAAAAATGTTAAAATTAGCTCATTTTTAAGTACCGTTATCTCAAAAACTGGAGCTTATCTGGAAAAACGCGGGGCGCCATTAAATTAAGATGATCCCAATTAAGAAAGATCAGCTATCAAAACCTTTGCTCAGAAAAACAGTTCAAAACCTGATCACAGTGTTATAAGCGACGAAAATTTCACCGTAAGAGTTCTAAAACTTCCCTCCTAAATATCTCAAAATTTTGACGTGATACGGATTTTCTGAAAACGGCATCGCAATCTAGGGGCCAAAATTAAGTTTACGTGTTTGGTCGTTGAGCTGTGATATTTCAAAAGTTTAAAATTTACCTACAGGGCCTATTACGATGGTCAAGTTCGAGATGATGGAAATTCCCTTATTTAGGCTATATCGCGTTGATTATTTTCTATTTGAAATGTGTTTATATTTAATAATTGATATTTGTCTTTGCTTAATTAATATGTGAATGCTAAGCTCAAATTTTTTTTTCAGGATTATCCACCACAACTCGACTTTACAACGCCTCCATTACCCATGACTCAACTTCATCCTATATCGCAAGCATCTATTATTAGTGGTAACGCTTTGATTGGGTCTATTGGTGGTGGAAGTGGCACACTTCGCCGAGGTATAATGCGAGGAATCGTGGGTATGCCACCCCCTGACGTTACTCAGCTTACAAGTACGAGTATGGCTGGTACAAGTAACATCCAAATGCTTCATGAGTTGCATCCAATAAATATCTCGAATAATTCCTGTTCTACGCAAACAACAAGCATAACAGGTAACGGAAGCATGATGTCAACTATCCCAAGCAGTACTACCAAACAACCTCAAAGCATTCTTAAGGATCCAAACAGAAGTAAACCGCAACAGCAACTTTTAAGTGCTAACCTTGTTGGTGTGGGTGTGCCCACAGCTTCTGGTAGCCTTCAAATTCTGAATATTCCCACGTCTGCAGGCATCAGTGGAAATCTACTAATGACCACCAACGGAACTTATGATCCAGCAAATCTTAGTACTTTTAACGCTACCACAGGTACGGGTTTGGCTTACACTGATGCTGATGGCCATTTGGTATAGCTGTAGGAGTACACGGGGTCACCGATGGAAGCTGCGATAGCCTTAATCAATGCCTCTTTGGCTCCCGCTGCTACCATTATCAACTCGAATACTACACGCTACTGAAAAACAAATAATACTCGTACAATTGAGCAGGTCAAAGTGAGCAAATATTTCAGAAAATAGTTTAAATAGCCAAGAGAAAAAGATACTGAGTTTACTTCTAAGGTTAGCTTTAAGATTAAATTAAGATTAGTGGGCATCAATCTTAACGATCTGATGCTGTATGCTGTATAGCAAGTACCAAATTAATTATCATTTTACATTTGCCGGATCTAAAAGTGCAACTCTTCTAGTTTTCTTTTTGACAAAATACTTATTTTTTATTTTTTTTCTCTAGAGAAAAGGTAGACTACATACATAAAATAAAGGCTGCATTTCTTTATTCATTCTGAACGTTTGGAATAAACTTTTTTGTTTACTTCTTCTTTAGAACGGTTCTAATGATATGTTAACGTATATTTCAAACGCATTCTCTTTATACTGGCTGTGAAATGGGATTATCTGGAATGTATAAAGAAACGCAGCCAAAGAGTTGAGTCTATATATATATACCAGTGTCGCTAACAGAAGTACGGTAAAATTATGCATATGCCATTTTATTATACATATTAATTGAATATTTTCAATGTAATTTATAATATGCTCATAGAAATTCAACAGTGCATAATGCATACAAATTGTATGCACATTTTTCGATTCGGCTCGTTTTTCGCTAGGCCATTTATCGCTTAGCAAGAATTATATTAATTTAAAATTTTCATAGTAATTCATCAGAGCTGCTTAGCTCTAAATAGAGTGATATGAGTGCATCCAAATAAAAACGGAAATATTAGAAGAATTTTCAATTGTACATTAGTTACACGGTGTTACAAAATAAAAAAAATGCGCGAACTTTTTAAGTGACCTAGTACAGGTCGTAGAGCTGGCAGTAATTCACGAAACTATTTTCAAAATTTTTCTAACACCCTTAAATTCTCAACTTATTCTTAAAAAACCATTTTCGCATGACTTGCGACACTAAAAAATTTTCAGTTTGGTTATTTTTTAATAAATTTTAAGTTTTTATATGGCTTAAGAAAGAAGAATATTTGTACTAAATATTCTCTCCGAAGTAATAAATAAAGGATACTATTTTCTTTGGAATTTTGGCAAAAAATGTTTTAGAAGTGGAAAAAATTATAAAAATTGGTGTAAATTTTGAATTTTTCCAAAAATTTTCCAAATATTTACAATTTCATCACAAAACTTATTATTTTAAAGAGCATGAATATTCTTCTTTCCAAGGTCTTCTAAAAACTAAAAATTGGGTAAGAATTAGCCGAGCTAAAAATTTTTTGCACGAGAATTCCTGTAAAAATGCTTTTTTTTTTAGAATAAGCCGATAATTTGAGGATGTTAGGAAAATTATAGACACACTTTCTTGAACGACCTGTACTAGGTCACTCAAAAAGTTCATGGTCAATGTAACACTGAGTAATTCAAAACATTGTTTATATATGCGCTTATGAGAAATACATATCGTCGTTTAAAGTACAAAACCGCGTATCGTCATTCTGCAAAACCGCGTAACTGACATTAGCTGCCAAAAATTGGATTTGCTCACACAGGCTTTTGGCCCAATCCTTTTCCATTCGTCCTGAAATATACTAGCCAGAAATGCGATTTCTTTATAAAAACGAGAATAATTTTGAAATATGAATGTTTTTACTCTCTAGAAAATAATTTATGCAACCTCACATACACGGTTTTGCATTATCATGATACGCGATTTTGCATTTTCCTGATACGCGGTTTTGTACTTTAAACGACGAGATATTCTCATGTATGACAATTCTGTTCTTGATTTCTCCGGATTGATTTAGGGGTTTCCTTTATTAACAAAATTTTTTGGTAGATATATATGGGCAAATCTAAAAAACAGGTAACCTTTGTGTTATTTACCCTTTACTTTCATTGTTGTTAACTATATCAAGCTGGTTTCTTTTGGATATAATTCATAGACGTATACTTGAAGCCTCACAAAAACGTTTAATCAATTTGTTGCATAACTTTTGAGCTATAGATCTTTTAATTTAGAAAAATATTAAGAATAAGTGAATTTTTTTAAGTAATTTTTAATAGGTGAAAAATTAATTATGTCATAACTTTTGAAGCACACCATATACTGGTTTGAAATTTTATGTGCAATTAGTACTTATGTATGTGTACACTTCATATGTAGTTGATAACTAAAGTGTGCTTTAAAAAATAACTAAATGGCAAGTAACGAAAAGTGTGTAACTCTACTTTTCACAATTGTTTAAAATTTTCGGTTTATCGCGTATAGTTTTTGAGGCATTTCATTTTAAGTATGCATTGCATTATACAAGAATACGAATTACGAATAATTTGACTCATCTTAACTGAAGGCACATTTGAAAAATACGTCGAAACGATCTAAATTTTTTTGTAACTACTAGTCCTTATAATGTTACGTATACCTATAAAAAACTTCAAAAGAAATTTTCTCTAGAAGTCTGCAAAAACCCTGATTTAATGATGCTTCTTCTTGTAGTCACAATATTTCGTGCGTGGTATCAAATCAACTTTTTTCGGCAAAGGGTCTGATTGTTGCTCTTAGCGTTTTCTTTTCTCGAAATAATGTTGTATTTATTCTGCTCTGCGTCAGGGCTGTCAAGATTTCGTGATCTTTTCTCAACATCTTTACATGCCTATTGCACGCTCTTTGCACTCTGATAATTTTGCCATATGAGAAGGTGACTTTTTTCTGGAAAAGAAAACGCCATTAATTGGAGCCTTCTGAATTCAATGGCGTCCTCAGTTTTGCCCGATCAGCTCCACAATTGTGTGCAAAATTTTAGTAAAATAACTTTGAAACTAAGGGAGTTATTTATAAATAATTAAAATTTATTCAAATTTTCAACTACCGTTATCTCGAAAACCAATCATGTAAAATGAGGTATGCAATTGAATTTAGAACGTCCCAATTAAGTGACATCAACTTTCAAAATCTTTGCTCAAAATTTACCACTTGCACAGCGTAATTTGAACTCATCTTATTCTTTTGTTTTCTATTTCAGCACTTGATGAAAATGAATTACACTTATATTTTCCGATTTATTAAGAGACTACGAACATAATCATATATTAAACATAGGTGTGCCCACAAACTAAAAATTTAACTTTTTGTTTTGAAAGTGTACCTGTTTTTGAGATTTGCCCTTATCCTAAAATTAAGCGATTTGTTCCTCCCATCAAGCGTTCTTTTAAACAATGTTCGTGGTATTGCCTGGATGCATTCTATTCTTGTTTTTTAACGAAAATAAATTCAATCGTTAACGCTGAAGCTGTAGCATGCATTTAGGCACTATATGTTAATAGTGAGCTGGCAATGGCATGCAACAACAAATTTTCGTTGATTTATTTTGTTTATATGTTAACGATTGATGATTTATTTGGTTTCAACGTTAATGATTGAGTTTTGTTTCGTTACTTTAGCTCTGAAACGTAACGAAATTATTTTGATAAAATATATTTGCGCATCAACAGAACGAAATCGATTCATATATGTAGTTTGTTGAGCATATTTGCTAAGAATAATTTCACTCTCCTTAAAGTTCCAAGAAACAATTGCGCTTGATCCCACTTTATCAAATGCCAACCAAATTCGACATGAATCTTTCAGGATAAGTGTGTTTCACATTCTTTAAATAGATACATATACTTACATATGCATATGTGCATTAGGCAGATCGAAAAATACACAGAAAAATCACCTTTTTACGAATTTGGGGGTGGCACAAAAAATTAGATCGCCATTTTCTACATTGAAACCGATTGATATTTAATCGCCCCGCCGGGGCTTTGAAGTTTTTCATATATTTTATATGGGGAAAACAAATTTTTTCGTTGAATTGCTAAAAAATCGTTAAAAATTAATAGTGTTTGATCAAATGAGAATATATCCCTTCAGAAAACTCCAAAACATAAAATTATGGTAAATATTTAACTCTAAAATGTTACCGTCGACTTTTTCATTTAGCGCGTGATGTGGTAGCCATTGCTTTTGGTACTACCCATAGTTTAGTACCTTTCTGCTTTCCGAAAAAATCATCCGTTTTCGACTTTGTGCTCTTCGTTAATAACTTTGTTACCGCTGGCTAGTTTCTCAAGGATATCTGAAATATCTTGATGCTTGCATGCTGGGTGACGAGTAATAATGGCATTGGAATTAATGCCCATTGGCGTAAATTCCCTTTGGTAATTGAATTAATGGCAATGAAATTAGCATAAAAGCCAAAAGTGGGTTAAATTCAATTGACAAGACACGTCGGAACTGTTTCACCCCCTGAAGTGAAACAAAGGTAGAAAAACTAATTTTGTTTGCATAGCAGTTAAATACCGGCAAATCAGCTGCCCTTGATAGTAGTTGGTTGAATAAGGAAAATGAATTAGCAACAATAAAAATATTAAAAACTAACTTTGTTATTTAAAATTAAAATCATAAAATGAACCTGTGGTGTAGTGGTTAGCAGTGCGTGCTAGAGATGGGCGATCTCGTGACTTTGAGAAACAACGTTATTTGTGACTGTGACTTTGCAGATTTTCATCCGTGACCGTGACAAAAGCGTGACAAAAAAGTCTTAAACAGGAATCTTTTACCGAGTGAACTAAGGATATTATTGTTTTGGTCATTCACACTCGTTTTTAATGGTGGGAAATTCGAATATCAAACAACATTAATCAGATTTTAGTCTTAAATAACTGGTAACAGTTTCTCGATATGTAATTGCGATTGCTACATACTTTATCGCAGAGTTCATAGCAGCTCCTGCGACTGTTACTGCTATTGTGGAAAGCGCAGTCCTACTACAAAAATATCATTGCGACTGTATCTTTGGCACCATGACTTTGGAGTAACCGTGACAAGGTCACAGGTACGCAAATATCTGCCACCTCTAGTGCGCGCTACCACTACGCAGGGCCTGGGTTGAAGCTCGTTTCAACCCAATATCAAAAAATAAAGACCAAAAAATTGCTCTTCTAGTAGCGGTCGCCCCAGGCAATGGCAAACCTCCGAGTTGATTTGTGCCATGAAAAACAGCTTGTCATAAAAATACGATCGCCGTTCGGAGTCGGCGTCAAACTGTAGGTCCCTTCCCTTTGTGTGACAACATTAAGGCGCACGCCACAAATCGGAGGACAAGCTCGGAATTAATGTCAATGATATTAGCACAGAAGCTTAGGTACCTAACCCGCTTAAGTAACCAACATTTTTGGGCACCGTGAATATTTTAATGTAATCTGAAGAAAATCCCTCCCTTAAGTACTTCCCCGCTTATTTACCCAACCCGCCTAAGTACGTAAATTTTTGGTATTCCATTTACCATTTTACTTATAATTTTCCCCTTTCAAATGCTTCCGCAACACGTTCGGCAAAAATCTTCTCAAAGTTCAATGGTAATTTTTAGCCACTTGAAACTTGCCAATTATTACACAAA